CCCACCCTCACACCCCCACCTGGGTTTCTCACAAAACCTGCAACCCAGCTTTCATCCCATGTGGGGTTTTGTTTTTTTTTTTTTTTTTTTTGGGAGTTTTTTTTTGAGTAGATAGTATGTGACAGTCACATGACAGGCCACGTAATTGTCACAACAGCCCCAGGAAGTATTGACCATCTCAAGATTGAGGACTCTAAGGTTTAGAGCAGTTAAAAGTCTTGTGATCATGAGAAAAGCTGGGTTTCAGGCCTGGGTTTTCTTCAGGCGCAGCGCCGTCTGCTGTGATGTCTTCTATGCAGAACTAGAAGTCCCTGCTGCTACATGTTTAGGTCATCAGGTATAATGCTGTAAACTGTCAGAAGCAGACACCCCTTTCTCTGAGTGAAGAACTGGGCTACGAGAGACATCTTATTTCTCTTGTGTGTTCCCTAGTAGGTGCGTAATACCTGTTTGCAGACTCACTGAATCAGTCAAAGTGACTGGAACTTCTTGTGCCTGGGAAGTACTTGTGACCAAGACGGTAGCCTGGTGTTCCAGGCCACCCATGTAATTCAGATGTTGTGTGCCTCTCAACACAGATTTATGGTTGTTGCTTTATGCAGTTGTTTTTTTAAAAATCAGATAGGAGGAAAAAACCAATTCTGTAAAGTAGGTGCGATTACATGCGAATTTTACAAATGAGAGATGAGGGAACAGGAGCACAGAGAGCTTATGCAGTGTGGCCAATGTCAGACAGCTGACAGGGGACAGAGCTAGAGTGTGTGCCTGGCTCTCTCCCCAGCATAACGGGGCCGTTTAATTTCCTTATCTATATTTAGGAAGGTTATGGAATTAATTGAGTTAATAATTTTTAATTCTTTTGGAAGCTAACTATTTCTAAGTGGAAGTTACTAGGAGATAGATGAATTCATCCTAAAGTAGACCATTCTAACAACTGAAGTTGTTGGTGTTGCCTGTTCCTAAGGCTTCGTGCTCTCACAACACTGACTTTTTGATCTGTGGTAACTAGTTCAGATCTCTTGTCTTTTGAGATCAGTTTTGGTAACTTATATTTTCCTAGAAAATTCATCCACTTATTCTGTTGATAGTGTTAATTTACAATAGGCGAGGCACACAGCAGAGAAGACAGACAAAATCTCAGCCCTCATGGATTTACGCATTCACAGTGCACCGTTGCAGAGGTATCTCTGTAGAGGAGAGAAGTCTCTTAGGTTGTTACTTTTTTTCGAAACTTCATCAGTTGGGTGCTTAATTTATTTTTTATTTTTTTATTAATATGAGCATTTTAATTTTTAATTTTTTTTGCAGCAGGTCAGTACAGGGATCCAAACCCTTGACCTTAGTGTTATGAGCACCATGCTCTGAGTGAGTAAACTGGCCAGCCCAATACAGGCATTTTAGACCCATAAATTTTCTTCTGAACACTGATTTCTTGATTTTATTCTTTTCTGTATATCCTGAAGTTTTGAATTTGATTTTTTTTTATTTTTGTGACCTAAACTTTAAGAGATCTTTCTCAACTGTTTTCTGTCCCCTGCTGTGTGTTGGGGTGTCTGTCTTTGCATCTGTCCAGTGCAGGCTCTTTCCTGTGCAGGTTCTAGTTTTCATTTCTGTGAGCTCTCGTCAGCTCAGAGTTAGTTGTCTTGGGTTGTCTTGCCATATCTTCTCTGAGTTCTGCTTTAAATTTTTTCCCCTTTTCTTTTCTATTCTTTTCTTCTCTTACCTTTTTAGAGAGAAGATTGCTCCATTAAGTTTTATAAATTTATGTTGATATTTTTAGCTATTCTGTGGCAACATTTCTGGTTGGAGTTTTCCACCTTCTGATGTCTTTTACTGTTTTTCTTCCCTCTCTCTCTCTCTCTCTGTAGTGCCTTTGCTTAGTGCTGGTTCCTTTTGGTCATTTGTGTTTTAATGAGTGGGTCCTTCCTGGTCGAGCTGTCTTGAGTGATCTGCACGTGGAGTTGGGTCAGGCTCACATCCCAGGCTGGTGGGAATGCTTGTGACACAGGGTTTTGCTTGTGACCAAATACTTTTAGCTGTTGCTTATCCCAGGCCAGAGAGCTTGGGCAGATGCTGGCTGCCCACAAGGCAGCATCTCTCTCCTCTACTCTACAGAGCCAAAGCCTGCTTCCTGAGAAGGTACCAGTTGGTCCTGCCTGCCCTGCTTTTATTGTTAGTAAAGTGTGTGTAGAAGCATGTGCCACCAGCCCGCATACCTGCTTCTGTTCTCCCACACCAGGGGTTATGGCATTGTCCCTCAAGTGTGCACTTCGTCCAGAGACCTGTGCTCCTGTGGTTTGTCTGGGATATGTCACCTCCGGCATCTCCCTTCAGCATCTTTCTTACCTTTGACTGTATTGTTAGGGCTAGGGCTCACAGACTCCTCCAACCTGTTGTACAGACTGG